ACAATGAATTCGTCAAGATATTGTTTGAAAACCCTATTCATTAGGTCCATAAAAGCTGCAGGTGCGTTTGTCACACCAAAAGGCATTACTAGGAATTCATAATATCTATATCTAGTTCTGAATGCAGTTTTCTCTACGTCTTTTACTTTAACCTTTAACTGGTGATAACCGGACCTAAGATCAATTTTAGAGAACACCTTAGCTCCTTGGAGTTGATCAAACAAATCATCTATTCGAGGTAAGGGATATTTGTTCTTAATAGTCACTTTGTTCAATTCTCGGTAGTCTATACACAACCTCAAAGATCAATCCTTCTTTTTGACAAACAAGAATGGAGCACCCCAAGGTGAAGTGCTCGGACGGATAAATTTCTTGTTTAACAGCTCCTGAAGTTGAGTTTTTAATTCTTTCAATTCTGAGGTAGACATTCTATAGGGGGTCTTGGAAATAGGTTATGTCCCCGAAAGCACCTCAACAGTGAATTCAATCTCTCTATCAACTAAGTCCCCAGGCAAGTCAGTCGAAAACACATCGAGAAATTCACAAGCAACAGGGATTGTTTCTACAGCAGTACTGTCAGATGGTGCAGTCAGTATACAACACAGATAACCCCTACATCCCTTCCTAAGGAGTTTTACAGCTTTCATAGCCGAAATCAGATATGGGGGAGGAACTACCCCATTCCCAATAAAAGTAACTTCAGGCATACCCGATGGTCTAAACACAACAGTTTTATTTGCACAATCAATAGTAGCATAGTATTTAGTCAACTAATACATTTCCAAAATACAATCAAAATGATTAATGTCCAAGGGTAATAAGTCCACATTTAACATCATATCGCCAATCATAATATCACATGTCGAATACAACATGAGTGCACATCATAGAATCTCCAAACGGCGTAGATACAGATAACACATATGTCATAAGTTCTAATGGTCTAGTCAATTTTCGAGAGAAAGCATGCGATACAAATGAATGTGTAGAACCAGAATCTATCAATACGCATGCATCTTGAGAACATACAGAGAGTGTACCTGACACCACGGTATAGGTGTTTGGTACGTCACCAGACACTAAGGTGAACACTCGACCCTGTCTCAGAGGTTCTTTCCCAGTATTGGCCCTCGTATTCGTCTTGGATGCAGAAGCGGACCCGGTTGAGCTTGCCGCCGGTTGGTTAGTATTTTCGAACCTGAAAGGACAATCCTTCATCATATGACCAGTCTTTCCACATCTAAAACAGGCGACCAAAGCTCGATAACAATCCCCCTTGTGTTTCCTACCACATTCCGAGCAAGTCGGTATAGTACCACTACTTTGGCTTGAGCTACTGTAAGATCCTGTGTTTCGCCTCTTATTCCCAGAAAATGAACAACCCTTTTTGAAACTGTTTCCATATCTTTTCCCCGTCCAATCAGTTCGTGGGACAAGAGTTTGTTTCTTCGCTGCTAAAATGGACTCTGCCATTAATGCCCTATCCAAAACATTCACGTACGTAGGTAGGTTCAGGACTCCCACCCTATCCAGCAAGGTTTTGAAACCTGGACCGGACCGGGCAGTTCAACCGGTTGAACCGGTGACCGGGTGAGGTTCCGGTCCGGTTGACCCCCTAAAACCGGTCAAATGAAAAAACCGGTCTATTTTCACAGAACCGGTGAAACCGGTGGTTCAACCGGTGAACCGTTCGAACCGGTTCCGGGTTAGTTGAACCGGGGTGGTTTGATTTATATATATATAAAAAAAAATTGATCTGCTTCTATTTTTTTTGGCTTATCTTCAGCGGCTGTAGAGCATCCGATCTAGGGCTTCTTCACACTCACACAGGTCTCTTCCTCCCTTCCCTCTGTTATCCGATCTATCTCTCTCTTTTTTTTCACCATTAACGAATCAATCAAGCAAGGTTCAACTTCACACCACCATTGCTGCCAACAATCACAGCCGCCAACAGCCTCCAGTCCAGGTATTATTTTGATGAATCTTTAAATCTCCTTCTTTGAATCTCCTTTTTTGTCCAGGTATATATATTTAAAAAAAAAAAAATTGATCTGCTTCTATTTTTTTTGGCTTATCTTCAGCGGCTGTAGAGCATCCGATCTAGGGCTTCTTCACACTCACACAGGTCTCTTCCTCCCTTCCCTCTGTTATCCGATCTATCTCTCTTTTTTTTCACCATTAACGAATCAATCAAGCAAGGTTCAACTTCACACCACCATTGCTGCCAACAATCACAGCCGCCAACAGCCTCCAGTCCAGGTATTATTTTGATGAATCTTTGAATCTCCTTCTTTGTTCTCCACTCCACTTCTCCGTTTTCCATTTTCCTTTTCCTCTATTTTTTTCTACAAAATGAAAAATGTATAGAGATTCTCACAAAAAAATTTCAGATTGAAAAATATATACAGATTTTTTATTCTTCTATTTTCTATTTTTTCCTTCAGAATTTTTTCCCCCCTTTATAGATAAATCATAGATATATAGAAAACATATTTTCAATTGAAATGGTGCACTAATTTCCCAATGTCAAACGACTACTTCTCAGTTGAGAGTGAAGACTAAAGTGAGAGAGAGGGGTATAGAGAAGCAGAGAGTGCATTTGTGAAGAAACCCATCTCATTATCTTCACCCAAAAGGTATGTATTCTCATCCCTTTTAATTTATCTCTTTATCTCAAACATTTTACACCATTTTATTTTATTTATTTATTTATTTTTTGTGGCAACTCATTGTTTTACAGGTTGATATTATTGTGATATTTTCTATCAATTTCTTATTTTTCCTGCCTAAATATCTGAAGATCTCTCTCATGCTTTCACTTTGATTGAGTTTTTGATTTTACTTTAATGCCTGTTGCATCAGATTGTGAAACGGGTCAATATTCATATTACCAGTCAATTTAATATTAAATGACCTTAATTTTCAAATATTTATGAAGTTAAATTGTGATTTGGTGGGTATGTTGTTTTGGGTTGCTTCTTGATTTGTGAATTCAGTGATGATAATTTGGATACCCATGAATTCAGTGGTGATAATTTGGATACCCATGAAGTTAAATTGTGATTTTACACCATTTTTATTAATTTGAATAATTATGATCCTACTTTCTGGAATATTAATTTGAATAGGAGTACTTTTTTTCTTTTTTCTCTTTTCTTTTTTTCATTTGTTCTTATTCTAAGTTGTAGTTGTGAGAGATGTCATCTGGCCAGAATTCAACAGCTAATTCCACTCAAGCCACAAGGGGAAAATCTGATATTGCATGGGCACATGTTATTGAGGGACGAGATGCCAATGGGAAGAAGACTTACTCATGTATGTATTGTGGGAAAACTATTAAAGGTGGAGGGATTAATAGAATGAAGCAACATCTTGCAAAGAAGTCAGGTGAGGTTGGGCCATGTAAAAAAGTTCCCCCAGATATTCAATATCAAATGCATGAATCTTTGAAAGCATTTGATGAAAAGAAGAAACAAAGTGAAGAAAATTATGATCAATTAATCCTTATGGTCCAGGTGGCTTTCAATTTGAGGGTGATGATGTTTATGTCAATGTTGATGATGAGGATGATGAGGTTGTGAGAATTATGTATGCCTTGTACTTTCCATTGTCCATGCCATTAGCTTTGTGAAGTTAATCATGTCACATTGCATTGAGTATGCCATGTAGTTTATTCGCATTGTATATGCCATGCTTGCTTGCACTGTGTTTGGAATAGGTGTTAGTCCAAGCACGGTTTTGAAACCGGGACCGGACCGGCTGGTTGAACCGGTTGAACCGGTGACCGGGTGAGGTTTCGATCCGGTTGGCCCTCCAAAACCAGTCACATATAAAAACCGGTGTATTTCCATAGAACTGGTGAAACCGGTGGTTCAACTGGTGAACCGTTCGAACCGGTTCCGGGTTAATTGAACCGGGGCGGTTTGATTATATATATATATATAAAAAAAAATTAGATCTGCTTCTATTTTTTTTTGCTTATCTTCAGCGGCTGTAGAGCATCCGATCTAGGGCTTCTTCACACTCACACAGGTCTCTTCCTCCCTTCCCTCTGTTATCCGATCTATCTCTCTTTTTTTTCACCATTAACGAATCAATCAAGCAAGGTTCTCAACTTCACACTGATTCACCACCATTGCTGCCAAGAATCACAGCCGCCAGCAGCCTCCAGTCCAGGTATTATTTTGATGAATCTTTGAATCTCCTTCTTTGTTCTCCACTCCACTTCTCCGTTTTCCATTTTCCTTTTCCTCTATTTTTTTCTACAAAATGAAAAATGTATAGAGATTCTCACAAAAAAATTTCAGATTGAAAAATATATAGAGATTTTTTATTCTTCTATTTTCTATTTTTTCCTTCAGAATTTTTTCCCCCCTTTATAGATAAATCATAGATATATAGAAAACATATTTTCAATTGAAATGGTGCACTAATTTCCCAATGTCAAACGACTACTTCTCAGTTGAGAGTGAAGACTAAAGTGAGAGAGAGGGGTATAGAGAAGCAGAGAGTGCATTTGTGAAGAAACCCATCTCATTATCTTCACCCAAAAGGTATGTATTCTCATCCCTTTTAATTTATCTCTTTATCTCAAACATTTTACACCATTTTATTTTATTTATTTATTTATTTTTTGTGGCAACTCATTGTTTTACAGGTTGATATTATTGTGATATTTTCTATCAATTTCTTATTTTTCCTGCCTAAATATCTGAAGATCTCTCTCATGCTTTCACTTTGATTGAGTTTTTTATTTTACTTTAATGCCTGTTGCATCAGATTGTGAAACGGGTCAATATTCATATTACCAGTCAATTTAATATTAAATGACCTTAATTTTCAAATATTTATGAAGTTAAATTGTGATTTTACACCATTTTTATTAATTTGAATAATTATGATCCTACTTTCTGGAATATTAATTTGAATAGGAGTACTTTTTTTCTTTTTTCTCTTTTCTTTTTTTCATTTGTTCTTATTCTAAGTTGTAGTTGTGAGAGATGTCATCTGGCCAGAATTCAACAGCTAATTCCACTCAAGCCACAAGGGGAAAATCTGATATTGCATGGGCACATGTTATTGAGGGACGAGATGCCAATGGGAAGAAGACTTACTCATGTATGTATTGTGGGAAAACTATTAAAGGTGGAGGGATTAATAGAATGAAGCAACATCTTGCAAAGAAGTCAGGTGAGGTTGGGCCATGTAAAAAAGTTCCCCCAGATATTCAATATCAAATGCATGAATCTTTGAAAGCATTTGATGAAAAGAAGAAACAAAGTGAAGAAAATTATGATCAATTAATCCTTATGGTCCAGGTGGCTTTCAATTTGAGGGTGATGATGTTTATGTCAATGTTGATGATGAGGATGATGAGGTTGTGAGAACAATTCCTCAGAACAATAAGGGCATTTCAATCAATGAAGGAGCTGGAAGTGGGAATAAGAGTAGAGCACCAATGACACAGAAAGGGAAGGGGAAGAGACATGAACCAACAAAAATCGGTGATTATTTTGCACCAAGGACCACTCCTGGTTCTCAACCAACTATCAAAAGTGCCCTCCAAACTAAAGAAGCCATACATAGAGCACATATGATTGTTGGCAAATTCTTTTATGATACTTGTATTCCAATCAATGCTGTGAACTCCATTTATTTTCAGCCCATGTTTGATGCCGCAATTGCCATTGGTCCAGGATATAAGGTCCCTACGTACCATCAACTTCGAGTTCCTTTATTGAGAGACTCAAAAAAAGAGCTTCAATTGTATATTGACACTTTGAAGAGTTCGTGGGCTGCTTGTGGATGTACTATTATGGGTGATGGTTGGACTGATGTTAGACAAAGAAATCTAATAAATTTTCTTGTCTATAGCCCTATGGGAATTGCTTTTGTGAAATCAATTGATGCCTCTGATGCTGTCAAAGATGCTACTCTTCTTTCTAAATTGTTTCTAGAGGTTATTGAGTGGGTAGGAGTGTCGAATGTTGTTCATATGGTGACAGATAATGGAGCAAATTATAAAGCTGCTGGAGGACTTGTAAATGCTACTTACAAATCTATAAATTGGTCTCCATGTGCAGCTCATTGCTTGAACTTAATCTTAAGTGAAATTTCCAAGATGAATCATGTGCATGAGCTTGCTATTAAGGCATCAACGGTGACAAGGTACATATATAACCGTTCATGGTTGTTAGCTCGGTTGAGAAAGAAGAAGAATTGGACTGAAATTGTGCGCCCAGGAGCAACGCGCTTTGCCACTACTTTCCTTGCATTGCATAGCATTTATGAGCATATGCATGATTTGCAAGCTTTGGTGACAAGTAAGGAGTTT